ACACAAGCTCCATTCTCTGCTTAAATAGCTTGAACTCTTCGGGTAGGTCTGGTACCTCCCAGTTCATCTCTGGATACTTAGTACTCATTGTATATGTCACGTGTGCGTATTGGTTACGACAGATTATATGAATGAGTGTAAATCTTTGTGTTGTTTATCTTAGTGTGAACAGGTCCTAACCGGCTGGTGTTGATAAGGTTCGTACACGTATACCTGTGTACACTCTCGCACCTGTGTGGATGTCATTAAGTGTCTCATGCAATGAAAATGTTGGTCACTCTCACTCAATGTCTGACAGTGACAATTCCTCACACACCAGATATTATTGTTAATATTATCTGAAAACAGGTTTAATGTTCACACCTCTGATTTAGTTTAATTTTAGATTTAAACTTTACTAGTTTAGTTATTATGCAGACCCCTGTGTCAGTGATTGAGCACAGTTATAACTTGATTAGGCTATTCTGAGCAGGCTTTATGAACCTTAATATGCTCATACACACATCACCATTCACGTAAGAGTTCATCGGGATTATGCAGTAGCATCAGTGTCTCGGTACACTGTGCGGTTTGTACGATGCACGTACTATGCATACGAAAACGTGCGACGTGACAAATCGCTAATCGACGATAATTTTGCTAATTATACTTCCCAACTGTCGTGAACTGGATCAATTGTGTCTTCAAAAATCAAACTTGATTTCGAAGATCCCAGCAGCTGCCACCATGATGAGTTCGAGGGTCTTAGATTTGGTAGATACTCATGATAATAGACGAGTCGGCAGTCAGGTTTGTGATGATGGTGACCATGTTTATTGAACTACCACGGATACCGGATATATCGGATATCGTATATCGTAACAACATATATTGTATTTTCCATGTGATAGGTGCACTTTAATACAAAATTAAAGAACATGCATGTGTAGGGTTAGGTTTAGGGTTGTGTCTCACGTTACGTACATTGTTGTAGGTTATTTTGATTAGGTGTTTGAGAAAAATGCAGAACATTTAAATGCATTTTACTCGAAATGAAATTCTTGCCAACTGAAGTCTATTGGCCAGTTCACACTATGAATATGACTGACAAAGAAAGCGGACAAAATATACAATTCCTCAGGTAGACAAAGGAACATCCCTTCACTGCTATTATGTAAAAATGTGTTGAACAGGTGTCACATGCATATTCACCTTTTTACATAATAGCAGTGAAGGGATGTTCCTTTGTCTACCTGAGGAACTGTATATTTTGTCCGCTTTCTTGTCAGTCATATTCATAGTGTCATAATATCATCATACATGTACATGTAGGTTTACTGGACGTATGCTTGTATTAGGTATCAAAATGGGATTTTCATGAAAGCATCTAATACCAAACACATAGATTATGGCTATTATGCCTGTCAAAAACTTAATGGAAACTGGTATATTGTAGGTCTATAAATTAATAGATTTTGTGTTTTGATGTAAATTCCAACCTTCATCATTTGTTGCCGAGGCATTCTGTGCTTGGATCACAAATGTCAATTTTTTGGACTATGTACCTGATAATGAATGTAGGTTTAATAAGTAACTAGTTGGCATATGGTTTATAAATTTATATGTAAATTATTGAAAAAGGTGTCATTTATGAAAAATCTCAAAATAGACCAGTGTAATTGAAAAGTGTGTGAGGTTTCAATGGAATGTCATGGAAAATTTGAATGCTACATATTCAAGAAGGTATTTGCCATTTGGGCTAATCCAGAATAAATTCAGTGGAATCAATCAAGATCATGGAGTATTTTGTCTCTGTGGGGCCAGAAGGGTGCTGATATAGATATTCTGGCTCCTTACAGACTACAGTGTACATGTATTTTTTTTTTTTTTTAAACCAACCTACTCTTAGAGTGGACTTCCCCTTTAAACAGTTGTAGTGAATTTAGCATTTTCTGTCGTCAGAGGTCTTGATGATACAGAACTGGCTATCAAACATATTTCAATATTTCCCCATTAATTTTCCCATATGGAGATATTTGTGATCATTGAGGGATAACATCTTGACCTAGGTGTAGACAGTGTAGCTACTTGAAATTGTATCCTACATATTAGCGATTCATCTAATTACTAGCTGTCCATCTAGACAAAATCAATAACGGTCTGACAATCAATAACAGGCCATAAAATTCAAGGTAGGTCTGCATGTCTAACAACAACCCAGCGTTTATGTTAAGAGGCAGAAGCAGTGATTGTATGGGTTTGGGGTGGATGAAGTCATGAAGAGTGGTGCATTATCCTTTGTTGGGAATGAAGAGAACAGATTGTCTGTTTGGAGCCAGGAGGGCATTGATAAACTCATGTCATGTTACACACAGTTAATACTCTTCTGAATCCAAACAGATGAGATGTTGTGAATAGGTACAGTTTATTACTACATGTACTTGTATATCATTACACTGCTTCAATGTGAAAATCTGGGACCCGTTTCACAAAGCCTTTTTTCAATGACAAATTACAAAAATCAGTGACAAATCTACTGATAACCAATCAGAAGCAAGGATTTCAGTAGCTTATAACAAAAAACTGTCATTTGTCACTTTTTTGTGAAACACCCCCAGATGTTCTCAAATGTAGAAACTTGTCTCTTTGATGATGAGGGAAGAGGGGTGGGAGAGGCAATCTGAAAACACAATATATATCTAGGTCTACTACTTATTGATTTTAGTATTATGAATTCAGGTTTAAGTACAAGGTATTCTGCTGATGTTATGCTGATTTGTTAAAAAAAAAAGGTTGTTTAGGGTAAAAACGAAAAGAATTTAATGAGGTTTGTCTGGCATTTCAACAAATTAAGACTTAAGCAGAAGGTGGATTCCATTTTGTGAGATATTTAGGAAGAACGAGTAACAAGTTGTGGCTGTCTTTACTTCAATCACCTATTTCACTCTGCTGAACTTCAAAGTGTTTGAAGTTGAACTCCACTGCACTTTGTATACACGTGTAGGCCAACATGTACATGTATTTAGGCCATCTGTACTTTGCCTCTGAATCTAAATGTGGTGATATTCACACTTTGGGTGTAAACACTTCACACTTTGATTGTTTTGGGTGTACTTTTTACCAGCTACCAGCTGGTTTACTCAGATCCAGAAGGGTGTTATAACTCATATCATTTAACACAGAGTTTACACCCTTCTGGCTCTCAACAAACCATTATATCCTGACTACATAATAGTGTATTGACAATTTGACATTGTCCGCATTCCTGAAATTCCTTTCACCTTGCTTAGGTCACAACCCTCTATTCATAAGATATGGTATGATAGAAGCAATATTGACCGTGTCGCTGCATAAAAGGATCCATTAAATCAGGATTCTTTGTTTGCGCATAAAATTGGAAGCGTCCTTCTAGATAGGGTGTTGTTTGTGGTATATTCATATTTTTTTTTTCCTACAGGCCTATTGCTAACTGTGGTACTATTAACACTCTGTTAAGTCCCATTAGCACTTTAGCACCCTATTGTGGCAATCAATTTACAGGATGAAAAATCATACCATTTATTGTTATGCTTACGTATTGGAGAACTCATTTACTTTCTAGCACCTTGAATTTGATGTATTCTTTTCCATTATCGAAATGGGTTTTTCATCAACAATGCTGAAGTGAATAATTTTATTTTCTATTTTTAACATTTTTTCTTAATAATGTAAATTATTAATGAAAATTTGGCCCGCTAATTTTCATAAATAATTTACATCTCTCTGCCCTATGATTGTTCATTACCGAACTATCGGTTGGCAGTATAGGCCTACTTTGAGAGAGTATTGATTTTATCAGGGTTGAAACAGATGCCCAAATCACAGTCAGCAATAGTACTGGTCATTTATAAATTAGGCCTATGGTACATGTAGAGTGAATATTATGTGCTTTTAATGCTCTTCAATACAGTGAAAGGTCATTCTCATTCTGATTTGCAACCTGTGAAATTTTCATTTGCACCTTGTTGTTAATATAAATTACAAGGACTTTGAATCTGTGGAGATAATGATAGAATTCACATTTTTGTTGATAAATGGTCATGCTTGTCACTACTGTGTTTATCCTTTTTGTTTGCTTTTATTACCCCAAGTTTTGACCTTACTGAGGCCAATCAGTGGCTGTCCCACAACTAGGTGTGGCCCTGGACAATAAAAAAAACAAAGGTCATTTTTATAATCATATGGTATTGCCTACCTATGAAACTTAGTGAAGCCTTTAAGAGATGAAATAGGAAAAAACAAATATTGAGATTCAGGACTAATATGTTTTTTATATAAAGTGCATTTACAAATATTTTGGAGGCCATCTTCTTTTGTAGAGCAGATAATATCACTTGATGTTCCGTGACGGTGGACATACTCTAGCGTTGTACTTGGTTTTTCATTTATTTTTGGTTCACCTTTATTATCAGGTCTTTGCAAGTTTCTGAGAAACATTTTACAGGTATTTAAAAAAATCATACTTTTGTCATGAATCATCCTTAATATGCAAGGAATGCTGAGAGGGTAAAAAGTAAACCGCAGATCCGGAAATTGTGTGTAGTTTCGCTTATCAACCAATCTTCACCAAATTGCAAGCATGTACCCCAACAATCAGCCCTGTATTGTCTGGTCCTGTCCCTATAGAAAAAATGGGATCATATGCAGCTATACAATCAATCAAATGTCAGGCCGATTTGATATTGAGCTTTTCAAAAGTTCTAACCCCCTGCAGCCTGTATTGTATGTGTAAATCTGTGCCCAAAGGTGATAGTATCAGCAACTCTTCCTCGCAAGCCAATATACCACACCGCCCACAACACACCAACAACTGTGTGTGTGCTAGTTACTCACTCGGCAGTAATCCCCCAGCCTCTTGAATAGGAAGGTATGTGGATGTCTATGGATGTCTATTGTTGTTAATCTGCCTCCCTCAACTACCCATGAAAAGGTCTTACCTGAATCATTTGCTCTCTCTTCGACCTTCTCATTCTTTCTCTCATGTTTATAAGTGGCGGGTGTCTCAGCAAGGGGCTGTATGTTGCCCTATTCAGTCTGTGGATTACAAGGGAAGCTTATCCCTGTTCAAGCGACAGTTATAAGTAGATTATTATTGATGACATTGACTTTTCTTGGACGATCTACTTTTTATGGAATCTTTGGAGTGGAAGTCTTGACTCTAATTGACAGCGAACATAACAATAATAATACTGGTAATGTTCAACTCTTCTATAGCACATATTATATTATTGTCTCTATGTGCTTATAAGATTGATAGAGAGAGAGAGAGAGAGAGAGAGAGAGAGAGAAAGAGAAAAGACATGTAAAATATTGAGCTTTCACCGTTTATCACTTACAATTATCAAATCAATTACAAAATTCACATGTTTACTGGTATGATCGAAACAGATATGTTTTAAAGTCGGATTTAAACTAATGTAGTGAAGGACAATATTTCAGAGACTCGGGGGACTTGTTCCATAGTTCTGGTATGGCATACGGGAAAGCACGGCGCCCATATGTTTTGGTAGATGTTACTAGGGGCGGGAATACTGAATGAATGATTTGAAGATGATGTACTGTACATGTACATTTTATGTATTTGTAGGCCTCGATATCATTCATTTCTACTTGCCAAAATGTGTTCCAGGGGCGGTATTCTGAACCCTGTGTTATCTCTAATATTGTTGTATCTTTGGAGATAAGATAAAGTTGGTATTCTGAACATTGTTGTAACTTTTGTGTTATCTTTTGTTGTATCTTTTCTCTCATCTCATTGGCCGCGCCTGCGCTCATAGTTTAGTGCGCTTGTAATTGTGCTTATTAGTAATAACATGGCGCTTAATCCTGATTTGCATATGCGCACAAGAGATAATATGACAAGATAATTGGTATTCTGAAAATTGTTGTATCTTTTGTCTTATTTTATCTAGCATGGTATTTACAACAATATTTACAACAGGTAGGGGGTTGTTGTATCTTTCGTGGTGATATAATGGCGGCAATTTTTCTTGCCCAGAACCAACTTTGTGCCAATAGACGAGTTAGAAGAAGATTATGTGTTGACCGGAAACATCACAGATGAGAACTTTTTAAGAAATTACATGCTAGGATATGATGATTTTAATGATCTCATCTTAACCAATATAGTGAAAGCGTGATTTGTCTTCATGATCCACATGCCACAGCGCAAATGATGACGCGCGTAATAAGCGCTCAAATAACTGATTACGCCCAAGATTAGTATGCGCTAGGCGCATCTTCAGATATGGCATAAAGTATTTCTTTTGGTTGACCTACTTATCATGCTTATATAAAACATATTTTGATTGGTAGGGTCCATACAAATGGGCATGTCAACAGCGGTCAAAGATAAGATAGAGGCGGTCCTTCAAGAGATAACACAGGGATAAAATGATGTTCAGAATACCAACTTACAACAATATTAGCGCTGTGTTATCTCTGGGAGATACAACAAAAGATAACACAAAACTTACAACAATGTTCAGAATACCACCCCTGGTATCAAAGCTAAAGTTGAATCAAGGAACCATATTATCTGTCGAGTCTTTGGAACCGTATTATCTGTCGAGTCTTTGAAACTATTTGCAAGTTTTATTTAGTAGGTAAGGGAATTCTTGTATGTCAAGATAGCAAACCATTTTTTGTGCAGTGATTCTTTCTGATGCTAGTGGAGGCTTGTACAAGAACTGCATGTCAATGAATGATGCCTTTGTATAGATCATAGATAAACCAATAGAAGATAGGCAGTGTGCATGACTGATTAAGAAAAGTCTTTAAATATCTGATTACTACTGGACTCAGTGACTGGCATAGTGTTGTGTACTGTACCATAGATCGTGTTTGTGTTTGTTATATGTTGCGTGTTTGATTGACGATAGATCTCCTACTCCTATACCTATGGAGATTCTTCATTTGTGTTGAAGTCTATAATAGTATTAAATGCCTTTTCATACAGTATCTAGAGCTTACTTATCATCTTCTTTTAGGGGCTCGTACACACCACATATTAAGGATCTAAGTTGGAATACCTAGATCATGAGAATGGTGTGTAATACACAGATACTACATGCATTGATCCTTATAATGTGCTGATATGACCATGTACTGTATTATCATGTAAGGTGGTGGAGCTGGAGAAAGTCTGGGTATCAATTTTTTGTAAATCGGAAAATTCCACAGACATGTTAGTCCAGAGGGAGTTTAATTGAAGAAAATAGAAGAAAATGCATACTTAATTAAAGAAAAGAGTATATAATTTCCTTTTACACCAAAAGCAATCTTAGAAAAATGTCAGATTAAAAAAAAAGTGTTCTCTGGTATGAATGGCTGTGCAGTGCAGGCAGACTGATTTCAGAATACCGGTATATACGTGCTTCATCAGGTTCCCCTCCCCCTTTATACCCACATATACCTGTTGAAACAATCAGTAAAATGAAACAAAAGCAGTCCAAGCTAACAGCTCGAGAACATTTCAAGAAATAAAGGGAGATCATAAAATGCCAAATGTCAACATGATAACAGAAAATGTATTGGTGTGAACAAAGAATATGTCCTATTTCTGGTGGTCATTGGCATTGGATCAAGGAAAAGCTATATTAAACCTTTCTTATACTAAGATGAAGCAGAAACTTGTCAGAAATATATTGCTTATTATCTTGAAAGGAGTTCCATAAATTTGTAGATATTTGGTAAGTTTTAGCTAGACTTCAAAGTTCAAACATATGCTGAAGAGATAGGGAGAGTCAGATCTCTCATCAATATGAAGGAATTTTCCCAGGAAACTCGCCTCCTAAAGTCCCCTCTAATAATTGTCAGATATGGTCACCAAAGTGCTAAAAATATCACAACTGTTATTAATAAATTTCCTTCCTTTCATATGTGCAGACAGATTACATAAGCTCAACATAAATAGTTGTACTGATCATGTGTGGTATTTGCAAGATTTGTTTTTATCTCATATGAAAAATTTGTAATACTGCTTTTGGCAGAGCTTGAACATTTATTTGCTCTGATAAACTTGTTTGTAGGAAGTTTGATAATGGGAAATTGAAGGAAGCCCATCCATATATCAAAAGGTATTCAGATTCCATATACCTAAAGATATTCAGAGTCCATATACCTAAAGATATTCAGAGTCCATATACCTAAGGATATTCAGAGTCCATATACCTAAAGATATTCAGAGTCCATATACCTAAAGATATTCAGAGTTCATTTTGTACCTGTTTTTGTTATAAAAAAGAGTTCATTTTGTACCTGTTTGTGTTATAAAAAAGGTCAAATGTTCTTCACTTGGTTAACAATCATGTGTTTAACACCTTTGAATACGAAGTGGCACCACTCAGATAATTGTAAAGTTTGTAGATTGCTCTGCTTTTGATGGTATCATGCTTCTGTTGACTTTGGTCATTAGTAGCTCCCATGCCAATAACTTTATGACATATGACCCACAGTAACAGAAATGTACACATCCTGTGCTTAGAGCCAGAAGGGATCTACTCTGTGTAATAGCAAACAAGGTAATGCCCTTATGGGTCCAAACAGACGATATATGCACGTTGTCCGGGTTACCTTTAAACATGTCATTTGATATCTTTTTTTTTTCTTTTGTACTGTGTTACTTATTTTCGTACAAGATGTCATTGAAAATGTACCAGTACTACTCGTTTTATGCTATCTGCATAGTTGAGTGCTCTTGACAGTCCATTTGGAGGTATTTTAATTGATAGGGTCGCACTTCATGCACTTAAAGCAGTTGGATCAATCGGTCCATCTTATGGCGAAGAAAACGTTAAGGATGATCAATAATATTTTGTAGAATGAGTACTGTAGACAAAGATGCTTTTGTCACTTTGAAAATGATACGTTTTACATACAACAAATCATTTCTCCTGTGCTTTCACAAATCTACAGGACAGAACCAACTAGGAAAAACCTAGTGGCAGAAGCTACAACGAACAACCCCCTGAGGATTCCTGGTATACAGTTCTTGTGGGAGAAACACACACACCAGGATGGCACTTGTCAATGGCACTGTCAACGGCAAGGTGAACGGGGTGAATGGGATGAACGGTCTTGGAGGACAGACCAGGACTATTCTGGATGACATGGTCGGACTTGGAGACTGCGTCTTGCTGGAGCCCCTGACAGAAGAGAACTTCATCGAGAACCTCATGTTGAGGTTCAAAGCTAATGAAGTCTATGTAAGTATGAGAAACAATGTGTGGTCATGGATTCAGAGCTAAATTAAATACTTCCTAGGGTTAGCCTGACGTCAAAGTGGTTAATACAAATAACACAAAGCAGTGAGGGCGTTAGTAAGAATTACCCACACAAGGTTCTTTTGGAACAGGCGATAGCCGAGGGTGTTTGGATTGTTTTGAAGGAATCGAGTGTGGGTAATTTTTACTAATGTCAGAACAAAATGATGTGTTTTATTTGTTTTATAAAATGATGTTTTATAACATAATGTTACTAATGACCAGTCATTACGTGTTAGGCATAATAAATGCCTGGTAATGTGTACGCTGTCAACCAATCATTTGATAAGGATTCGCTGCATCATCTTATAAAGTTATTTAAGACAACTCCACTCATTGCATCCAGTATATCAACATATAGGCTGCATTATACAATTTACATTATATACTTTACATGTACCTCAAAACCATATACATGTATAGTCTGTGTGGAACCAGAAAGGTATTAACTCCTGGACATTTAATGCCCTTCCTGCCTTGAACAGATGATAGCTTTGTCTTCATTGTAGAGATTCCACAGTCATCTACATCCCTGAAATTTAAAATGTGTAGCATCATAATTTCAATTAAATATTATCAATCATATTTTAATGACATTTTGTATAGCTTGCATAAATATTTATATACATGACCATGTTGCCAAAACTATACTAATCCTTCATCCATAAAAGGACTATCCAGCATGATGCATGCCAATACAAAATCTATCTGAGAATAGAGAAAAAAAAGAAGAAAAAAAAATCAAAAATATAATTGCACACACGCGCAGCTTCAGTTCCTCACTTGGACAAAAAAATTGAGATTGTGTCTCCATTCTAAACATTTTGGTTTAGTAATTACAAGCAATCCACCTGTTAAAGAGTAATTTGGCTTGAGCTTTCTTGGAACAATATCAAACAATGTGTAATTCTGAATCATTATACTTTGACTTGTTTTCAAAATCAGATCACTCTCTAAATAGGTCTGTATATTATGTTAAAATAATGGAATAACAAGATAAAGGGTTTTATATTGACTGGAATTTGGCAAATATGTGTACCGGTATGTTTAATTAACATTAATTAAGTTTGGCTTGCAAATAAATCTAGTTTATGTGATTGTGTCATTGGCATTGGCCCTTTTCTACTTGTGGATAGGTTCACAATACATGCACCTGTAGATTTTCATTTAAAAGCCACTGAGAGTAGAGAAACATATGGACAATTAGTTTTGAAAAGATTTCAACGCTTTGTTTGCTCTGGAATAAAAATTATCCGTTTGTACTGCTGTATTGTTTTGGAGTATATATTTTGCATACGCCCGAAACATCTGACGAGAAATTTGACCGAGGAGGGTTATTGTTTTTTCCATATTTTTGACCAAGACAGATAAGGAGTTAATTGTTTGTTATTTTTTTTGATCACACAGCATATGACGAAAGAAAAGTAAACATTGTACATGTAAATACCCCCAAAATATACATGTAAGTACCGGTACATACATAATCCTGTAGTGTAATTAGAGTTAAGAAGTCAATTTGTCTTGGATATAAGATTTAAATGGATTCAGTCAAGGGGCATGCATGCCTGTCATTACAAGACATTGATTGATGACCGGAAGTCATTCATTGCTGTCCCATCATGACTGCCCAAAGTGATTGGGCAATGGGGGACATCCTCCTCAAGACGTCCACTTTGGTAACACTACGGCTCCTACGAGGAGTCATTCACACTAGAGGAAAAATTTGTACAAAATATTTAATGAAACGTTAACGTATAAAGCATCATTGTGTTGTGAATGGGATGTACAAAACATGGGATAAAAATATAAGATAGGAGGAACACACGTTTCTAGCTTGCCTAGGGCTACGTTTCTAGATGCTAATAGGATTGTTAAAATAATAATAATAATAATAATACATGAGATTTATATAGCGCCATTATCCATTTTGGAGAGATCAGCTTACATCATGGACAGTGTTTGCAATATTTTTGTGTAGTCTAAATGGTGAGGGGGTTAAAATGATTTGCAATTAGATGGAGCACTCATTATTGATTGTAGACAGGGAATTAGTTAATGCAGTCAAGACATGGCAAGTAGCTTCCACTTGAATTCATCATGCACGGGTCAATATTTACATGTACATGTATGTTACAATCAATAAGCATGCTTTTATTTTTTGAGGTATGGAAATATATTCTTTTTATCATTATTGCCAAGATTTGATTTGATTCTAAAAATCCATACTGAGTTTTGTGAGCTCAAGTCCTGTTGGTGACTCATAATGAATAACACCAGTTAAATTTTGGTGTACTGCACCTTAAATTTGTGATGATTTTAATTCTAAACAGAGTTATACGAAAGACCATTAGTGCCACGAAGAAAAAAAAACACACTTTCTACTAATCTGTTTAAACAGATTACGATATTTCTTCTAATCTGTTTAAACAGATTATAATCTGTTTAAACAGATTACGGTATTTCTACTAATCTGTTTAAACAGATTACGGTATTTCTACTAATCTGTTTAAACAGATTACGATATTTCTTCTAATCTGTTTAAACAGATTATAATCTGTTTAAACAGATTACGGTATTTCTACTAATCTGTTTAAACAGATTACGGTATTTCTACTAATCTGTTTAAACAGATTACAGTACTTCAACTAATCTGTTTAAACAGATTATAATCTGAGTTTATAATAAATTTGCTACAACCTTACAACAAAATGTAAATTTCCGTGATTTTTGCCAAAATTATGGTCCATTAAAATTTGAATATACGTCAAGTTATCTTCAATGATTATTTGAAAACTATGTATCAAATTGGCAATATGAATATTCATTTGGGGGTAGGGGAACTTTTCTTTCCATATTTTTACTTGTATTTGATTGGTTAGGGGGTAAAGAGTGAGGTAATTATATTAGCATAATGTTATGTTCGGCTTTGCATTTTAACTGTTTACGAGTGACGTCATAGCAAGCATGGCATCGCCCACTAAGCGCACGTACGCGAGTCTATGAGAAACGTACGCGCGCGCGCAGCGCAGGCCAGGGGAAGTGACAAAAGTAGGATCCGTAATCTGTTTAAACAGATTAGTTGAAGTAATGTAATCTGTTTAAACAGATTAGAAGAAATATCGTAATCTGTTATAACAGATTAGTGGAAATACCGTAATCTGTTTAAACAGATTATAATCTGTTTAAACAGATTAGAAGAAATATCGTAATCTGTTATAACAGATTAGTGGAAATACCGTAATCTGTTTAAACAGATTATAATCTGTTTAAACAGATTAGAAGAAATATCGTAATCTGTTATAACAGATTAGTGGAAATACCGTAATCTGTTTAAACAGATTATAATCTGTTTAAACAGATTAGAAGAAATATCGTAATCTGTTATAACAGATTAGTGGAAATACCGTAATCTGTTTAAACAGATTATAATCTGTTTAAACAGATTAGAAGAAATATCGTAATCTGTTATAACAGATTAGTGGAAATACCGTAATCTGTTTAAACAGATTATAATCTGTTTAAACAGATTAGAAGAAATATCGTAATCTGTTATAACAGATTAGTGGAAATACCGTAATCTGTTTAAACAGATTATAATCTGTTTAAACAGATTAGTTGAAGTACTGTAATCTGTTTAAACAGATTAGTAGAAATACCGTAATCTGTTTAAACAGATTAGTAGAAATACCGTAATCTGTTTAAACAGATTATAATCTGTTTAAACAGATTAGAAGAAATATCGTAATCTGTTTAAACAGATTAGTAGAAATACCGTAATCTGTTTAAACAGATTAGTAGAAATACCGTAATCTGTTTAAACAGATTATAATCTGTTTAAACAGATTAGAAGAAATATCGTAATCTGTTTAAACAGATTAGTAGAAAGTGTGTTTTTTTTTCTTCGTGGCACTAATGGTCTTTCGTAGAGTTAGGTCATTTGTACATTGTAAATGATGGAGCTTCAAGAAAATTTTGTTCAACCAAAATGTTCAGGATCCTTAATAAAGCTGACTCTTCGCAATTTATATCAAAGGTAACAAAACTAAAGAATTATTTGAAAGTAAAAGTATACACACTCTCAAGCTTGAGATTGAAGCAAAATTATTATATTGAGGGTCTAGGAAATACCACATTAATTTACTACAGAATGACATGAAACCTATTTTTATAGACACCTTAAAAGTAATAATAATAATAATAATAATAATAATAATATGTCTTGTTTACCCAGGGTAGCCTCATCAGTATTCATACTGTTCCCCCATAGCTTGAGACTTTATTCATTAATGCCTTATGGGGAAAGTATAATTATGACAAATTATGAATTTTATATGTTCATGTTCAAAAGTATTTCCTAATGGAGCAGCATGGTGGGAGGGAGCTAGGGTAGAATTTCCTGAAGACCAAGAGGGATCTCGAAATTCATTTTAAAAACCGGGGGAGGGGGATTTTCTGGGAAAAAATCTGGCAGGCAAGCTAACAAAAAAGCACATTCATGGAGTTGTGCACTTGAAGTACATATAGTGTACTGTATGCCTCTTGGGTTTTAATAGGTGGGGAAGGGGGCATGTCGGTTTGGTTGTGCCCCCTAAATCTGGCAGTGTTAAAGACGACAGATGATACCCTGCTGAGGTTTCCTGTCACCTGGAAAGTGGCTAGAATCATGTCAGTGGGTGGGACCGACGACACATCATCCTAATCCCATCTATTTTTAACAGGACACTTCATACCTGGAACTGTTGTTACTTGTCACATACATTGGCGAGAGCTGCTAAAACTGTTGCCCCAGCACATGTATGTGACATTTATGGACGCTAGTCTAACATCCATACACAATGGAATATTTTGATCAGTCAGTCATTGAGTTGATAAGAAATGCCATCGCTGTGTGGATTAAACTCTTTCAAGGGAGGGAAGGAAATATTGTATAACACCTACATCAGGCTTGTCTTCCAGAATTACAGTGTTCACTTCATCCGGAGGGGAAATGTAAAGGAAGGGGGGGGGGGGGTAATAATTGTTATGCCTTGATCACTCAGACATGATACACATAATTTACAAATGTATCTTAATAGTACGAGTCCCCTTATTTTGACCTGAGGTCTGTTTTACATGTATGATATAACACTGGGCAGCGCCCCAAATAGTATGAAACATACGGTACCTTTATGACTAATTACAAGAATGCATGATTGCATGCACTGGATTAATTTTTAATTTGTACCGTACGTTAGAATAAATACACAAGGACTAAATCTCTGCATAAATGAGGGGCAATTACTATATATTTAAAGTGTTGGCCCTGTAGTTTTTAAATAAACATTGATTGTTTCGATATTGAATATTTGGTCTTAATTTTTTTGATTTCAAAGTAATCAATTCAAGCAAATATATCCAGCTGTCAATGTACATGTTACATGACTTTTGAACAGATAAGGCTGGCACAGACTAAGTGAGAAAACTGATGAATTTTCTAAACAAATCAAGGACTACCTGGTACTATTTCCCCTGTTTTATGTTTGAATACAGTACCAGATGTCAACCTGAAAAGGATGAAACCACATATAGTCCATTGATTTCCAATAATGCCACTCCTTCTGGGGTGTAGTTTACCAGTCGGTTAAAACCACCTCCCAGAATGGTCATTGACCGGTATTAACTAACATTGATTCTCACACATGTAATGCTTGGTAGTACTGTAGATTATTATGCAATTTTGTACAGTAGGTGCCTGAATCAATACTCAGTTATTGTGTCCATGAACTACATTTTGTTTAATTATTTCTAGTGTGAACTTTTGTGCACTAGCTCTCTTTCTTGTCATTCAATGTTTTGTATTCAAGATCAAGATATTACAGTTTACAACAAAAGTGAGTTCATCGCTTCAAAAGAAGAAAATAGTACAACTTTTTACAATGTTTTATTAAAAAAACGCAAGCTCTTGAGCAATGTAGAGTTTGTATTCTGTGATATTGATACCTGCATGTACCTCTAGTTGCAACATATTTATTCCATGAAAACAGTGTACCGGTAGTGCAACGACGTAAGGAGTTTTATTGGAATTCATATTTTCCAAAAGGGTGTACTAACTTTTCTTTGAATCCTCCAATGTGTATTCCTGATTTGATGAAGGGCCTACCGTACATATATTTTGAATACTGCTAAAGATGCCTGCCTATAATATAAACAGGGACATACAGTGTGGCATATAATCAGAAGTATTCCTTGGCACTGCTATAGTTGCCTTTGTTAAGACCATTTAATGACAAAGAAACTATTTAAAAAATTGTATTTTTTGCTGGTGGTATCCCAGAATTGATTGGCAATATGTGAATCAGATTTCAAAATATATGTATCACAATAGTAGGGTAATGAAGGCCTACTGATTCAACATAGGGGTTAGATGAGTAACCAAATTAAGCATGCCTACAATTTGAAAGAAATGGGTGCAGTGATTTGAATTTGAGTTTGAGGTATATCACGACTGTAAACCTAATCTGATGACATCAATTTGAATGATCTATTTGTTTTGTTATCACACACATGAGCCTGATACATACAGAACCCCTATCCCACCCTCTTCCCACTCAGGACATTGACTCTACAATAGGCGTGTCTGCACTATCTCGAGATTGCCAAATATCCAGCTATTTGAACTATCCTGATCGCAAACTATCCAGCCAATTTGCGTCTTCATTAGAACATAGTAGCAAATTAGCTGGATAGTTGGTCGGGATAACATCCCAAGATATCTCGGTCTAGTTTGCAAAATATCCCACTATTTCCGAACTAGCGGGATAATTTGCGACCGTCTTCATTAGACCGAAGTACGGAGTCAAATATCCCGATCCCATCATATGCACAACGATTTCCGGTTTTCCGTGTTAACTAGTTGTACTAACGCGCGCACATGCAATCTATACCGCTGAGCGGTGCATGATGGGATCGGGATATTTGACTCCGTACTTCGGTCTAATGAAGACGGTCGCAAACTATCCCGCTAGTTTGGAAATAGTGGGATATTTTGCAAAGTAGACCAAGATATCTTGGGATATTATCCCGACCAACTATCCAGCTAATTTGCTACTTCGTTCTAATGAAGACGCAATTAGCTGGATAGCTTGCGATCGGGATAGTTCAAATAGCTGGATATTTGGCAATCTCGAGATAGTGAAGGCGGGCCTATAGGGAAAGTGTTCCACTTTGTTTACTATTTCAATTACACTGTACCTTTAAAAATTAAGCATTGATTTACCAAAAAATGGAAATGTTCCTCAGGGTACCAGAATTCCTGGCTTTACAACATTTTTTACTGTCTACTGGACATGGGTGTTGTCGAGAGATACTTTGCAATCCCTTTCTCATAAAGTATCTGCATAAGTGTAAAGAAAGAGCTTTAGAAATATAAACTACATGTATAGTTTCTTCATAATCTTTGCATCGGGGCAATCTTCATTTTATTTTTAAAGTGGAATGAATTTCATTTTTAAAGCGGAATGATTTTCATAAAATGCTGTAACCAACCCTGTAATCTTCCATATACTGATTATATGTTTTTTCTTGATATCACAGACATACATTGGCAACGTGGTGGTCTCAGTTAATCCCTACACCAAGCTACCACTCTATACAATGGAGAAGATTATGGAATACAGAGGCATGAATCTTTATGAACTACCTCCACACATGTAAGTATTTTAGTCCCTTATAAAAAGAACCACCCATTTCTTCCTGGTAATATATGTATTAATTCAGTTGTACAGCATTCTGACAACATTAAACAAATGAAAATATGTATGTGGTTAAGTCTTGGGTAGCAATAAGGTTTTAGGTTAAGTTTAGGGTTAGGACTTGAGTTAATTAGGTATACAATAGTATTTGGTCAAGGGATAAAGTTCTGAATTTGATTTAGTGAAGAATATTACATACAAAGCCATTTGTCATTGGAGCATATTATGTCATACAAGTTATAGAAATTCATGCAAACCTAAACAGTGTGGAAAAATGATTAATACTTTGAAAGAATTTAGATTGCTGTATTTTAACAGTAGTTCAATTGCATTCATACATGTACAAAATGTACATGATTACCTGCATTGTGTACCGATACAAGTAGCATTATGCTTGCAACACGGATTTGTAAATCTCCAGTCAATTTTTCATTCACCTTCCCAACTCAACCAAATCATTAATTCCATTCATCAATCAATGTTTTGTGAATACAGTCAGATCTTGTTGACAAAGGAGCATATGAAAATATTCCCCGAGTGAAATACCAATTATATTATCAATGCCATGAGGAAATGTATTTGCTGAATTGATCATTCAAATATTCCTGACAGTTTGTCATCAAAATTGTATTCATGTTCATGCATACATGTACATGCATGTGTACAAGTATGGAGTACATTTATGTTCAACACAAACATTACAGGGTGAGGCTATGAACTTCTACATGCAAACATAGCATGATATAGGTGCAATTCAATCCACCTCATACAAATTTTAACATTGTTGAGAATTTAAGCATATTGATCATGTATTTGATTTCATGAATGATAGATCAAGTTTCTTTTTTATTTTAAACAAAATGTCAGTCTTACATAATTGACTTAGAACTACCCTATTTATTCTTTAGCTTACCCACCCAACTGAAAAACATACATGTACATTTCAGGCACGTAGCCAGAGTTTAATGTGTTTTTTTTTTTGGGGGGGGGGCACATCGATCGAGGTCTAAAAAGGGGTCTAAAAAAGTTCAACCGATCTTGGAAATTTTTAGAGCCCCCCCCCCCCCCCCCCCACGTGGCTACGTGCCTGGTACATGTACATGTAACTGTTCATTCTTAGTTCATGCATTGTCTAATAATAGAAGTGTAAACTCAACTGTTGTGTTTTACAGCATGGCTTAATTAGAGCATGTGTAACCACAACTTCATTGTCTCTCTTCTTGGATAGTAAGTTGGATGAGTAAACATAACTGCATATTCTCAGTGCATGGGGTATTGTAGGATAAGACCATGATTAGATAGAATCAATATGGTGTTAATTTGCAGGGATGATATTTGATATCGGGTGATTCAGGTTGTACCTTTAACAATCAGCTTAACATGGACATGCAGGAGTAGATGAAATTTATATTCTGAGTCTTTTAATAGTTCTAAGCTTATAAAAGAGTGGTAACATTTTGCCTTCATGTATACTAGCATACACAGCAAACCTCTCCCCTCCCTCTTCTTAGAGATGAGGATAAGTACTGGTGGGTGTGTCATAAGGAGAGATTGGTAAGTGTATTGCAAGGTTTTGGAAACATAAAAAAGATGACAACTCAACTACAAGTAAATCTTCCTGAAAAAAACCACATACAGGGGAAAACACTGCACACAGAAACAAATGTTTGACTATAAAATGGAAAATTGATCGATCAACCAAATTCCTTTCGAATTCGTACACGTAGGCCCCCTACCTTCATTTATTATTAGTCCCTCATATTCTTTGGCTATACTATGGAAAATAATAGAGAAATGATTTCCAATATGAAACTGCATTTTCAAATATTGGAGAATGATGAAATCTAAACTTAGTTGATTCACAGTCTGTATCATGGCATCATGCTGGTAGGGTCACTCTGGTTCTATGTACCCCACCCAGATCCCTGCTAAGATCTGAGGGGACTCTTAAAGGAGTCCCTATGACTACATTTTTCTGTCCAGAATTGTGTGGGGTCACTTTCCAAAATTGATGGAGCAGTATTCTCTATATAGAAAAATTCTTTAAATATATATTCATATACCTTGAATATAGTTGTATCTGAGTATTGAAATGAACTACTTGTTTTACTTTGATGTTACGTTTGATTTTCTTTTTTAATCCAAAAATTATCAACAATATGTGTTTGTGCCTGGAAATCTAAACTTTGGTACTCTTTGGTTCATCAAAATATAGTGATGGACTTGAAACATTTAAAAGCTAAAAAAAACCTGATTTGAATTCTATCGGCCTACTTATTCACAAATTAATGAGAAAAAATAATAATTTGTAATGGTATTTTTTGTTGTGCTCATTTAACACTGTGATGTCTCATCTAAGACACATGCAGTTATATATTCTTTTTAGCACATATTACAGTAAATTCTTCCAACCCCAAAGGGTTTAAATTCTGCCATGATTTGTCTCAAAAACAATCTCTAAGGAGGTACATAAAAACACTCATCTGGAGAAATTGAAACTGATCATTATTTCAACTGAATTTCAGTCTGATTCTTAGTGTCTAGACATATCAACATTCTTTCCTTTTTCTGTCAAAGTAGGCCTAAAGGTTGATAGAATTCTTGAATTCATTAAATGACAATAGATTGAGATCATAGGGGAATATTTGAATGGGTCAAAATATGTTTTTATGCTCCCTTGATTTAAAAGGAAATGGCCCTGTTGACATGTTTTTGCAAAATTCCTTCCAATGAAAGCATTTGTAACAATTCTTTTTTAAACTAAAATTGTATATGAATCTAATCAAAGAAGGAAATGAAATTATTATTGATAATTTCATGTAATTTGTGTATTTGAACACAATTTGCATTTGTATATAAAGGTCTGTATGTCATTACATAGGCAGGGTGATTTCCAAGATATATTAAAATGTACTTGCTTTCGTTCATTTTTCTGAAATACAGTTCACCCATCCATTTACTTCCCCCCCCCCCCCGTCCAATGGCCATTGTTGCTGTTTTTCACCCCCCCCCCCATACTAATAAAAACACTTTATTCAATATTTACCAACTCTTTACCTCCCTGTGCAGACATTGAATCTTTTATTTTCTTGTATCTATTTTGGATGTAGCTATGCTATCACAGACGATGCCTACAGGGACATGAGAGACAAGAATCGAGACCAGTGTGTCATCATCTCAGGCGAGAGTGGAGCAGGAAAAACAGGTGATTTATACCACCCTCTCAAGTCCAATGTCATGGGGGTTCCAGATTCATGTACCCCATGAGAGAGCTAATTTTAGGAATGAGTTCCTGTCTTGTCATGAGATTGGAATGCAGCGATGTTGTGCGTTTTCCATTTAATTTGACTTCTGTTTATCCCTGTTTGGTGTTTTTGATGTGAGATGATAACATTTGGGCCATTGCTGGCAGATAGTAATTTACTTTGCTTGATTAGGGTGCATTTTTACAACAAATATGGATGCTGACAGTTACTATTTTTTTTTTTTTTGTATCAGACATTAAAAAAAAATCAAGAAAATATGTAGGATATGATTGATGTTACTAATCAATTGTAGTTGAGAGGGATGTGGTATAGGAAAAGAGAGATATGGGTAAAAGGAGGGGATGGAGAGGAAGGGGGAGAGGTGGGAGAAGGGGGAGAGAGGAAGTGAGATAACAGGGGGAGAAAAGAGGAAAGGGGGAAGGGTGAGAGAGGGCAGGAAGGGGGAATAAGGGGAGAGAGAAACCGAAAGGGATAGAGGAAGGGAAGGAAGAGATGAGCAAGGAGAGGAGGGAGGAAAGGATGGCAGAAGAGGGATAGGAGGGAAGAAGAGAGATAGAAGGGGAGACAGACATATATTACGAATAGGTCTATGCCCTAATGTTTTCTTCCACAATAAAAATTCATTTATTTTCCTATGTTTCTTTCATGTGCACAGAGGCCAGCAAAATTGTTATGCAGTATGTAGCAGCAGTGTGTGGTAAAGGAGGAGATGTAGACACGGTCAAAGAACAACTCTTACAAAGCAATCCAGTCCTAGAATGTAAGTAACTTCATATTTTATTTTATTAATTTACTCAGAATTAATAAAAAATGGTTGATAGATTAGTGTTTTTGCAGGTGTAAGAGAGAGCTGCTGAGTAGAGAATAGTTGGCTAATATAACAGTTAATGTCATATCAGAGAGAGAGAGAGAAAAAAAAAGAGAGAGAAAAAGAGAGAGGAAAGGAAAGACAGAAAAATGATTAATTTTTTGGGGAGCTAAAAGAACAGCTTCTTCAACGACATCTTCAAGCGAATTGCAAACGAAGCTTCCAGCCTTGCTCATTACAACAAGAATATTGTGTACCTTGATGTAGAGATCACACACTTCTAGCTCTCAACAGGAGATTTAGTAATTTTTAACATTATGGTATGGTGAAATGCCAGAGGGACAATTTAGCTTGTCTTTTACATAATGTTGATACTTGTTAGCACTTTGGATAAAATATTACATATATTGTCCCCAAGAATATAAAATTACAAATTCAAAATAGTAGCCTTCATATCACCTAATTAAAACACATTAAAGTGTTGAGTAGTTGAGTCACTTAGTTAAATGTAGCTCTGAAAAGTTAAAGAGCTCAGGCAAATCGAAACAACTCTGATCATAACAGAACAGAACAGAATATAATAAGAATAGAACAAAACAAAATGAAACACAAGAATTAGACACCAAGATAGACACTCAAAACAACACAAACAAAAACCAAAAATAAAGGTCAAATTTATTTTCCCTGAGGAATTATGTCTTCCTATAGTTAATCCAAGAAGAACACCTTAAACTATATATAATATTTTTGTAATGTTGCTACATGTGTTTATATAAAGGATATAATATTTTCATTGACCTGTTGTCCATGGCCACACCAGGGAAACAGTTTACTTTACAAACATTGTATTCATGAAATTAGCCACATTTGCCTATTTTTGGTGTTATTCAAGGCTAGGCCACACAGACAACCACTCCAGCTTTTGTTTTCAATCATGAGTACCATGTATGTTTTGTATGTAGGTCAAACAAAAAGGGACCTTTCGCAGACTTATTCATTTCAAAGCTAATATTATCTTGCCTTATTTGCATTGGTTTACATATTAATGCAATGAGCTGCAATGGAGTAGTTAACTTTCAACAAATACAAAACACCTGTTTACTATTTCTAAACATGGTTGAGGGTGCGTTTAATCGACACTTTTTCACCCTAGAATCACGGTTTCTAAAGACGTTTAGTTTAAAACGCAATGCGTTCAAGCGATTTTTTCGTCGGTCGTAAAAATAAACGTGTTTGAAAACACAAACATGAAACGCTGAAAAAGATGCGTTTTGTATCATGATTCAAAAGAATCACGGTCGCTAAAATTCGATTGAACGGACGGAGTTCTCAATCATGATTGCATGACGAAGCCTCTTCCGGTTTGGGAAAAACCGCGCGCCCGCTTTGCATGCAATTTGCGTTCACTATACCATCGTGGCCTGTTCCGTTATGTTATTCCTTGTTTTTCCTTCTATCATTTTCTCTTTCTGTCTTTCCTTATGTTATTCTTTGTTTCTTCCTTCTATTCTTATGTTATTTTTTTTTCTTTCTATCACCTTTTCTTATGTTATTCTTTGTTTTTATCATTCTATCATTTGCTCTTTCTGTCTTTCCTTATGTTATTCTTTGTTTCTTCCTTCTATACTTATGTTATTCTTTGTTTTTTTTCTTTCTATCACCTTTTCTTATGTTATTCTTTGTTTTTTCCTTCTATCACCTTTTCTTATGTAAATCTTTGTTTTAAGCATTCTATCAATTTCTCTTTCTGTCTTTCCTTATGTTATTCTTTGTTTCTTCCTTCTATCATCTTCTCTTATGTTATTCTTTGTTTTTATCATTCTATCATTTGCTCTTTCTGTCTTTCCTTATGTTATTCTTTGTTTCTTCCTTCTATACTTATGTTATTCGTTGTTTTTTTCCTTCTATCACCTTTTCTTATGTAATTCTTTGTTTTAAGCATTCTATCAATTTCTCTTTCTGTCTTTCCTTATGTTATTCTTTGTTTCTTCCTTCTATCATCTTCTCTTATGTTATTCTTTATATTTATAATTCTATCACTTTCTCTTATGTTATTCTTTGTTTTAATCATTCTGTTACTTTCTCTTTCTATCTTTCCTTATGTTATTCTTTGATTCTTCCTTCTTTCACCTTCTCTTATGTTATTCTTTGTTTTAATCATTCTATCACTTTCTCTTTCTGTTCTTCCTTATGTCATTCTTTGTTCCTTCCTTTTTTCACGTTCTCTTTCTGTCTTTCCTTATGTTATTCTTTGTTTTTTCCTTCTATTTTTATGTTATGCTTTGTTTTTTCCTTCTATCACCTTTTATGTAATTCTTTGTTTTAAGCATTCTATCACTCTCTCTTTCTGTCTTTCCTTATGTTATTCTTCGATTCTTCCTTCTTTCACCTTCTCTTATGTTATTCTTTGTTTTAATCATTCTATCGACTTTATCTTTCTGTCTTTCCTTATGTTATTCTTTGTTTCTTCCTTCTATCACCTTCTCATTCTTTGTCTTATTTTTGCGATCTATGCTCAAAACAGCAGTCGACAGTCGGCCGTAAACAATTCCAGAAAGCGCGCGCCGAAGTTCCTGGGCCATACTGCGCAGTGTGATGCGCAGTGGTTTGGCTCGCAATGAGCTAGAATCAGCGTTGATGAAAAATCGCTTGAACGCAAACCGCAGTGACCTTGCTTTTTGTAACGGCGTTTTGAATTGTGATTCATGTTTGTGATTCTAGCTTCGAAAATTCGATTGAACGCACCCTGAGTAAGCTCGCTACCAGACAGTCAGGTGTGGTGTACTTTAAAGCTTTATTCACACAGGCAAGATAAACAGCCTCAAAAGCCACTTTGGCAAAATGAAATGACTAAAGCTTAGTGCACTTTAATAGACCATTTTCAAACTGTACTCAAATTTGTACATGTTTACCAAGCAACGAGCTAATACATTGACCTGTGATTTTTATTGCATAGTCTGAATGCAATTCGTAAACATTAGTTGTTGCTAGGTCATACAGCTCGATGACTTGCCCTACCTAGCAACATGAAATACAATTCATTTGCTGCCTGCAGAAGGCTGGAACTGCCATTGAGGATACATATCTGGCCTTTCTGTGGGCAGCCGATTAATAATTTGTAACAGGACAATGTAATATTTTGTAACGAAACACTTAGCAAAGACATTAAGATTGTTTACATTATGAACTTATTATGTTAAACACATATTTTGTAACTTATAACACACAGATACACGGAATTAAGCACTACTGGGGGCTTATTTTCTGCACATCATACTTTTTTGTTACTTCCATTTACCATTCATTACTCGTAAAATCATTTTATTTTGGCACAGCTCCTTTGAATTGTTCTTATACATGTTTTGATGCATCATGTGTGAACATGGCTAAAAATCTGCAAGCATTCCATACTGTAAAAAAGTATAAATCTACATGTAGATAGGGTGAACAAAAGAATCATGCACACAAACATGTATGAACGGATGTCATCTCTGTTCATGTTTAGCACATGGTTCAATAGCTGAAATCACACGCTCTGAAACTCACGCCTCATCTAAAATCTTATTTGCATAAATAGGAGAAAAAACATGTTCAGGAAGGGCCTAAACATTGCAGTAGTAGGTACACATGTATATACACTGTGAGGGCTTACGTGAACACTTCTCTTACAACTTTTTTTACTCATATATGCAAGTTACAATAAATGAAATCGTACTACAATGTATGAAGCTTTTTGTAGATGTTAGGGGAGGGGGTGAACATTGCTTAATATTGTTCTGGGCTTCTGCCATTTTTTATTTCCGGAGCGAAGGTAGTTTATTCTCTTGTCTAGTTTTCATTTACCAAAAATATCATCTGTTTGGAGCAAGAAGAGCATTAAATCAGATACTTTAACATAGAATTAACACCCTTCTGTCTCTGAAAAGATGATACACTCTGAGGCATAGACATTTTGTCATTTGTGAGAGAAATATTAAAGTAAGTTTCACAACGATGTATGTGCTATGCCATTGTTGGTAAATGTATTGTCATCATACTAGTTATCAATTACTGTGCACATAATGTCTGAATAATGTATTCATGTCATGAATGTTTGTAGGAGATAGGAGATCTCCTTTATTTCCTGATCCAATGTTGAAGTTTAAAGTTAATGTTTAAATGATAAAACATACATCCTATTATGAGCAAACAAAGCATAGTGGAAGTTGGTTTATGTTTGATCAATACTTCTTGTCTGTGGTATGAAATATGTCAGTTCACAAGGGAAGGCCGTGTTTTAGAAGAGAGCGTTTGTTTGCAGAACGTGGGTTTGTCTTGAATAGAGACATCCTTGGTTCATTTTTAAGAGATAAATCAAGAAGATAAATACCAAAGGTTGATCATTCCAGTCTCAAAAGAATGATCCAGGATGAAGCCTGCTCTAGCTCTTAAATTTGTCAGAGAGAGAGAGAGAGAGAGAGATAAGTCCGTTTGTTTTCAATCAACAGGAGTAAAATTCTCAATCAGAAATGTTTTTCTTGGTTATAATCTATGTAACAAATATGTGTTACTGAGTGTATACATATTTTGCAGACATCACTGTCCAAATATCTACCAGTAGATTAACAGTGAATTTGGATAGTTACAATATTTAATGCATTTGATTCATATGATGTTTAGGTATTCGAAAAATTGCAGATTATACATGTAGATGCCAGCAGAGAAGTTGTAGGGGGTCGTATTCATGAATAGCGGTCTTTATAACCAGGTATACACTGTAGGGCATTTTAAAACCTGATCAAAATTTGTGAAAAAGAAATTGCACCACGTACTACTGTGATATTCATAAATACATACATCAAAATGTCTTTCTTCAGTGCATACATTGGCATTACTGTCTTCAGTATTCAACAAAATATAGAATGCAGTTGCACAGTTTTGAAATTACTTGTAGCTGTTTCACATTATTTTTC